GCATTGCCATCATTTACTGTGATGAAAGGTATGTTGAATCTAGATTCTCTATTGACGATAATATCAACAAAACCCTATCTAAAGAAAATCTTGTTTCACAATCTTCATCTTTATCTCTTAACATATGTCGCGAGCTGGATATTGTTCAAAGCGACTTGGAGGAAGTTCCTATTGTTTTCGCGAGGCAACCAGGAAAGTCAGAATCGAATGATCAGTTATACTCTTCATGGGTCTTGCAAAACATAGGCAATATTAACAAAATGATAGGGTTAACCTACTAAGACCATGAAGCACAAACCATGGCACTGTTCGAGGAATTGGAAATGAGAACGATGGAGAAGAAAATTATTATTGAGAAAACACCAACAGTGAAACAAAAGCAAGCTGATGATGGTGCCAAAGAGTTAAAACTTCTCGAATGTTCAGTGAACTACGAGGGTAGACAAAAAAAGAGCTCTGACAGGGAGAGAAGTATGCAAATTTAATGGTTCTAAAAATTATATCTTGAAATGTTAGGGGCCTCAACAACGTTTGAAAAAGGAATACTTTGAAAGGTTGTCTCAATAGATGAAAACCAGCCATTGTTTGTTTCCAAGAGATGAAGATAGAGATGATTACTGACAATACTATCAATAGCATATGGAATATTGACGACACAAGCTAGCTAAATTTCCTGCTAAGGGATCTGTTGGGGGCATTTTAATTGTCTGAAGGAAATAAGTTGTTGAAATCAGAGGCTTCTTCATCGGTGAGGTAATGCTCTTTTACCTCTTTACCAATATTACTAATCAAAAAGTTTGGTTCTTTTTTGGAGTATACTATAGGGGAAATGTGATTGAATGACATTTATTATGGATTGAAATCTCCTCCTGTCTCAATAAATGGGGAAACAAAGGAATAATTGGTGGCAATTTCAACATCATCATTAAGCGCAGCTAGAGGTCTAGTGACCAGTTCTCTAATTCCAACGCTATTGAGTTTCAAGAACAAATTGAGAGACTAGATTTAGATGATTTGCCATTGAAATGAGGACAGTGGAATTGGAGTATCTAGAGAGAGAAGCCCTCATTTTTCAGAATTGATAGATTTCTTGTCTCTTCAGAACTACTGCTAGAATTACCATCTTACTCACAAAAGGTAGTCCCTAGAACTTTATTTAACTACTTCCCTATTTGTCTTGATCCAGAAGGAATCCAGTGGGGACTTATCCCTTTCAGACTTGATAGCAAATGGCTCAAAACATATGGTTTCAAAGCCTTGGTCGAATCGACTTGGTCTTCTAAGAATTTTAGAGGCACTACCAGTTTCAAACTTGTCAGTAAGCTCAAATATCTGAAGGAAGAGATCAAAAAATGGGTTATCACTTTCGACTGGGGAAAAAACTAGAAATCAGAAGTACTATGTCATAAATTAAAATTATGGACAATGTTGAAGGGAATTTGGGTTTCACTGATGCTGACAGAGAGAGTAGGACACTTCTGAAACTCAACCTTGCCAATAAATTGAACATGGAAACTATCTCTTATAAGCAAAAATCCTAAGAGAAATGGCTTAAGGATGGTGATAGAAACACAAAACATTTCCTTTGTTTGGCCAATCACAAGAGAAGAAATAACTATGTGGAAGAGCTCCTTATTGACAATAAAAGATTTGAGGGGAACACCACTATGAGAGAAGATGCCAAAGACTATTTTCTTGACCTGTATTATGAGGAATATTGTGCAAGACTAAAACTGAACAAGTTAAAATTTGCCAAAATCGACGACCAAGCTATTCTAGATTTAGAAGCTAATTTTAGCGAAGAGGAAATTTTGACCAGCATCTATGCTTGCGATGGGGATAAGGCCCCGAGACCCAACAGTTTCAACCTCAAGTTTTTTCAGGAATATTGGGATATAGTGAAGTAAGATTTCTTAGAGTTCTTCAATAGCTTTCACAAAAATTCCTCCTTCGTGAAATCAATCAACTCCACATTTCTTGTCTTTATCCCTAAACAGAAGGATGCTGAGCAAATTAAAGACTTTAGACCAATAAGCCTTATAGATAGTATCTACAAAATATTATCAAAAGTTCTAGCAAACTACTTATCTAAAGTGTTACACTCCATCATCGGGGATTCTCAGCAAGCTTTTGACTATGGGAGACATATCACAGACGTTATCCTTATGGCCAACGAAATTGTGGTTGAGGTCTATAGGAAGAAAGGTCGAGGTATAGTCTGTATACTAGACATGAAAAAGACTTTTGATCACATTTCTTGGAACTTTATTGATTACATGCTTGAATGATTGGGTTTTGGACGAAAATGGAGGAATTGGATCTACACGTGCATCTCTTCCACCAGTTTTGCAGTCCTTGTAAATGGTGATCCGTCTAAATTCGTCAATGCATCTAGAGGCTTGCGACAAAGTGATCCTCTCTCCCCTTTACTCTTTATTATTGTCATGGAAGCTCTTCACAAAATGGTTGACAAACCTAAAAACCTACAGCTTGAAAAAGATATCGTGGTGGGCAACTAAGATAAACAAATGGAGATTTCACATTTATTTTTTATCGATGACACCCTATTCTTTTGCCAGCCGGATATAAATTCAATTTTAAACTTGAGGTACATTCTATTATGCTTTCAAGCTGTCTTGGGTTTAAAGATTAATTACAGCAAATCTGAATTAGTAAAATTTGGCACTAACTGTCCTGAGCCCTCTTTTGCTAAGACTATGGGATACAAAGCCACAAATCTAACCATCAAATATTTGGGCATCCTTCTTGGTTCTAAACACAAAGACAGTAGTTGTTGAGAGTCTATAATCAACATTTTCCAAAGTAGACTAGCCAACTGGAAAAAAAAATTCTTGTCAAAAGGTGGTAGGCTCACATTCATAAAGAGCACTTTATCTAACCTACCAATCTATTACCTCTTGGTTCTTACCATTCCAGCAAGTGTTGCCAAAAAATTGGAAAGTATTAATGTCGTTTTCTTTGTGATTGTGAGAACAACCGCAAGCTTCACTTGGTCAGCTGGGAAGATATCAAACAGCCTAAATATAAAGGTGGACTGGGGTTAAGGTCCCTAATGACACTTAACAAAGCATTGCACTGTAAATAGGTCTGAAAATTCTAGAACAGCAAAAATTGCCTTTGGAAAAATATCATTGAATACAAATGGTTCAGCAAAGGTCTGCATAATATGACCATATTAAACTGAAACAACTATGGAAAAAGCTTATGGAAGAGTTTCATGCAACATAATCACATTATTCAAAACTGCTCCACTTGGGTCATCGGTAAGGATAACAAAATTCGTTTTTGGCAGAATGTATGGCTGGGAAACAACAACCTTCAATCTCATTTCTCCCAAATATTTGCTATCGCCTGTGACAAGGATATCCTAGTTGAAGAATTATTTCAGGGTAACACTTCTCTTCCGAGTGCTGTGGTTGTCAACCATAATCTCCAAGATAGGAAAATTATGGAATACATGGAATTAACTGCAATTACTGCTAATATATAGTTGAATCTCAATGATGACAAATAATCGTAATCTCCAAGATTGGAAAATTGTGGAATACATGGAATTAACTGCAATTACTGCTAATATATAATTGAATCTCAATGATGACAAACTCATATGGAATTTAAACAAAAATGGCACTCTCTCAGTTACTTCTCTTTATAAGCACCTGACAGATTCCACAAATTGAAATGAGTATGTTTTTCTCAATAAAATCATATGGAAGTCGCAAGCTCCACCTAGAATCTCCTTCTTCACTTGGGAGGCGGCAAAAGAATGCATCTTGACCATTGACAATCTGATGAAGAGAGGTTTCCAACTGGTTTACAGATGCCCCTTATGCAAATCCAACTTGGAAAGCTACAGATACCTTCTGTTATGGTGCCCATTCACTATAGTCTATGGACTAACCTCTACAGTTTAATGCGTATTCACTGGTTTATAATATACTCCATCAAGGTTGAACATCTCGCTTGGGAGGGTCTCACTTTCAAGAACAAATGCTTCCGACTAATTCCATTCACTATATTCTGGATTGTTTCAAAAGAAAGAAATAAAAGAATTTTTAAAGGTATTGAGAGGAATTTTGTTAATATCGAGGGCAAATGGTTACACTTTTTTGGTTCTATTATGTTAGGACACAATCTTGACAGTTTTGATGATTTTGGACTCCTTGTAGATACTCTTACCGAGCTGTAAATTCTGTGTACTTAGGTGGCGCCCTTTTGGCACCTAATTAATATATATCTTACACTTCTTCTTTGAAAAAAAAAAATCTTGAATGGATTGATAGATTGGACTCTTATCTTCTGATTGAATTGAAAAAAGTTAGCTTGAGCTCGAATGAGCGTATCTTATAAAAAAGTACCCTAGTCGCCTTGGTAGAATGCATTGAAGAAAAGAATCCACTCTCAACCTTTTAATTTTTTTTAATAGAATGGTAAACAATCTTATTCTTTTATACAAGTACACTAACCGAATCTCGTCTACATACACACAGATATCCCTCATTTATATAAAATCAAACAAGTTTTAAATGTTTTCACACATTATACCAACTCATTGCTTTTTAAATTTATATTCTAGACTCACCTGTTTTCTTTTCATTTTATTTTTAGTACTTCATAAAAAATTTATTATCATATATTAATTTTAAGATGCACCTTATTACTCTTATATTTCATCAGGACAAATTATATTTGTATTCACACCCATTTGTATACTCAACGAATTACATTTTAATTTA